GCCTTACTACTAGGAACAAGAAACTACTAGTAACAAAGGGCATCGCTACTAGGAGCAAGAACTGTTACTAGTAGCAAAGTAGTAAGGCCAGGAGCCCCCAGTACCTTCTTGATGTGTGGGATTCTGCAGTTAAAAAGCGCCGAGCCAAGTTCAACTGCGATCGGATGAGATTATGACGTCGAATGAATCATGTAAATGAGCCAACCGATGGGCTTGAGTCTCTTAAAAGCTGAAAATCCCAGTCAAGGAGCATTTCGAAGTCAAGGGTGAATTGCCTAGAATCTGAAATAAATCTGAGATCCCCAGAAAGTATATCTAATCTAATGTGTATAGAATTATGTTTTGCCTTCTTTTCCGCTCATGCTAACCAGCCCTTCTTGGTGCCTTACAAGGTCAACGATAAAAACTTAGTCGGCCCACTAAGGGCACAATTTACATAAACAATGATCTGAGAACCATCTGCCTGCAACACTGATCTTGACACTATGCAAAACCAGAAAGAAAACACATAATGATTTGGAAACGATGTTCATCCTACAAAGGTTTGGACTAATTTGGACAACATTGTTGTTGTTGGCGGCTTGAGAAGTGTTTATAGTCTATAAACACCATGTTTATAAAACATGTTTTCCCATGTGGCTAATCAATTTTCTGAAGTCGGGACTGACTATTGTGTATATCTGATTTGTTGATGTGTTTTGTATTCCATACTACCTATATACACATATATATATATACATTGATATCCTAAGTCCAAACATATATATATATATATTTAAATATGTTTTCCAAAATACATTGTTTACAACTCCCATTGCATCCAATAGCAAAAACGAGGCGCTATGTTGTCCAGTGAGTGCGATTCAATGTTGGAAACTCTTTGGCAAGTTAAACTATTCAAAACAGTTCCACCTTCCATGTGAATATGAAATCCACATCCACAATAATTACACTGAGCATTGATATTATCCAAGAACCACGGAGCATTACAGTAACATATCCTTTGTTTGGTATTTTATTGATTTTCTTTTGGCTGTTTATCCTGCACTTTGTAATGTTCATTCTTTCTCTCTGTGCCTCTCGTGTCTGCCAGGCCTCTCGTCGGCCATAGTCTGTGCATCTCGTGTGCACTTCATGCCACTGTGTCCGGGTCATGGCACTGTATTAAAACAGTCATTAGTACCAGGACCCTCCAAGGGGTGCCCTGTCTGGAAGCCTATAGGTAGTGTAGGGTTGTCCATTGGACACCCCTTGGTATCATGATTTTGCCTTATTCAGATCTCTACATCTTGCGTTCAGGCTGTCCAAACCCATTCTGGATTATTGAAGCAACATACTATAATCAAGTATTGTAATATCACCATCAATGCTACTACCTTAAGCAGAATGGCAAGTCGAACACCAAGCAAATAGGACGTTTTTACTTACCTTGTCAATCTCTCATGATGGAAGCACATGTGTTTTAACATTATTCAAGGTAGGTATTTTATTACAATCATTGCCAACATGAACAATTTTGCACGTCAAACCTACATTGAAAACGCATGTTTTTGATTTGGTATATTCACCGCATATCAAAAAATGTTTATTTCATATTCATATTGTTTGCTTTCCAGTATTTTTAACCTCACTTGACACATGTTTGCAGGATTTATTCAAAGAATATGCTATGTTCCATGTTGACAATGTAATATCATCAGTATATCTAAAGCATTTCTCAATCAGTTTAGGTGTTGGCACTTCATCTACAAATATATTGTTGTTTTTTACATTCAGATTATTTAGCCTCTGTTTGTCCTCTTCTCTCTTCAATTTCTTATATACGTTCAGCAATATGTTTTCTAAAATTGCATCAGCATAGTTCTCATAATCTTGGGTATCTGACAGCTCCTGAAATAGCTTCAGTTGTTTGGTATGACCTGTTGCAAAAAGTTTCACTATGTATATGTTGCTCAGCAAACTATTTGATGTTCCAATACAAATGCTTAAAGCGCTGAAATAGATTTCATCAAACACTGCTACGTAAAGTTCTGAATACTCAAATTGTTCTATTTTATCATCACCAAACCACATAAGCTTGCTTATTTTTATGGCATCACTTTCAAATCCTTGTAATAACCTATTTGTAGGGCACACACATAATACTTTGTAGCTTTCATTAACCATTTTCTGGCAGATATGATTTTTGCCTGTTCCTGCAAACTGTTTCACTATCTCAGTATCATACTCATCGTCAATTTGATTTTTGCTTTAATGGCTGGTATTTCTACAACTTGTGGCCCTGAGAGGGGTGGCGAAAGCTAGGCAAATAAACAACGCTGGGGCTCTTTAGGCAGCAAAAGCCTGGCCGGGAATCGCAACATGCCATGGCCAAGGGAAAAGGAGAGTGCCAACAGCGCCCCCCCAATATGACCCCAACACAGCCAACACATGGCAACACACAACCACCCCAGCAACCGCCGCAGCAGCAACAGCCACAACAACAATAGCTGTAACCAGCAGCGGCAGCGGCAGCAAGCAGAAGCTACCAAGCAGCAGCAGAAGCAGCAGCAGGAGTAGCTAGCAAGCAGCAGCACCAGCTACCAAGCAGCAGCAGCAGCAGCAGCAGGAGCAGCTACCAAGCAGCAGCAGCAGCTACCAAGCAGCAGCAGCAGCAGCAGGAGCAGCAGCAGCAGCAGCAGCAGCTACCAAGCAACAGCAGCATCAGCTACCAAGCAGCAGCAGCAGCAGCAGCAGCTACCAGCAGCAGCAAAGCAGCAGCAAATCAGCAGCAAAGCAGCAGCAGCAGCAACAGCAGCAGCAAAGGCAGCAGCAGCAGCAGCAGCTGCCAAGCAGCAGCTACCAAGCAGCAGCAGCAGCAGCTACCAAGCAGCA